CCCTTCACTATGCCCCTAATCTTTGAGGAATTGCTGCCCTTTCAAGACACCTTAAAGCCCCAACTGTTAAGGGGATTCAGGAACACTGCTATGTCTAATTACAACACTTTCTCTTAAGTTCACACACTATTTTTGTTACTAGCTAATTGAGATTCATTACTTGAGCAGTTCTCTAATATTTTATGTAATTCAAGATAAATGATGAGCTTAGATATATGCTGCACCTTGCAATCAGGAAGGAAACTTGATCTCAGTTTTGGAGAGCAGGGGAAGGAGAAATGCCATTAAATGGTAAAGTTAGTTGTTATTCAACTCAAGAAGTCAGTCTCTGGAAGGAAAAAAAAAGACCTGTGTACGTTTAGATTTTTAGTTTATCAGTAACTCTTCATATCTGAAAGCTTAAGCTGTTGATGGTGAAACATCAACATCAGTGCCAAGTTTGAAATTAATATTGATACAGACCAGCAGCAATGAAAATTATTTAAATTCAGAATCAAGTGTCAAAAGCCATCACTGACCCTGGCTGAAAAAGTAACCTGTGAGAAGTAAAACAACTTCAAAACATTATGAATCAACAAAGGAAACTAAATGTGACACAAGCCCACTCGAGGTGCTTTAAAACTAGAAACTGTTTTTAACATTAATGAGCATGGTTATGTTTGTGCAGAAGCACCTTCAATGGAATCACCTGCCCCAGGAGGGGTTGGATGAATGGGTTTGTGATTTCCTGAAGGGCCATCATCATCTGAGCTGTTTGGCCACAAATGTCAGATGCTGCTGCCACTTTACAGCCCTGCACCAGCGTCTCCTGGTTCCTTCAAAAATCAGGAACTTCTGAGTGAACACTAATACACCTCTTGATTCCCTTCTCCAGACAGCCTCTACTCCAGAAGGAGTAAAGACTTGATATGCTTTCTACATTTTATTTCTATTTCTACATCTATATAATATATTACATGCATTAAAAAAAATAGCAAACTATATAAAAATGCTTCCAGCAACAGCCCTCGAATTTCTGTATTCTTTGAAAGGAAGGACAACATTTCAACTTTAAAATCTCCCAGGCTTGGCACTGTTTGCAATAAAGTTTGACTGAGGACCAGGATCTGTTTCCATTGTGCAAAGCCAGCAGATAAACAACTGCCCTGGGTTGTCCAGGGCTGTCAGCAGTGCTGCCACCACACTCAGCAAAAACCACCCTGGGATCTGCAGAGTCAGATGATTTCCTCACGCCATGGGAAATTCTGCCGGTCTCTCACTTTTCTGTTTCTGTAACATGCCCTTGGTTTGTATTATTCTAGAAGCATCTTTTTACTTTAAAGAAATCTCTGACATTCTTTGAATCTTGCCTGAATTCAAATTAGGCAATGAGAAAAATAAGATCTCTATAAAGAAAAGTGACAAATACTAACAGTATAGCATAAATAATTTCAAAAATAATTGTACTTCAGCACCTTATTTTTCAAATTTTAGTACATGATAAATAGTACTGCAAGGCTTAGGTAATTCACAGCACACATGCAGATAATATTATCTATTATTTCTACTTCAGATGATGTGAATCTTGTAGTTTCACATTCCTTTAGTGAGGTCTTTTCAGATCTCTCTCTATTCCTTTGATGGGTGATGGAGAAATCCATATGTGCAGATCCATACGGCAATGAACTTTCCAAGCCAAACACAAGAACAGCAGCTTCTAGGAGAGGGTGGCTTGCCAAGACAAACAAGTTCTGCCAACATTTTAACACCACAGAAGGTCAGTTAGGTTATAATTAAACCTAATTACCATTCTCTGGAATTGCAACATCTTTTCACTTGACGTCGCCTAATGCTCAGGAAAGGATGAATTTTTGTTCTAGATTTTCCAAGAATCACATTAAGCAGACAATGGAGTATTCCCTTTAAATCTGAATCATCACTTACCATCATAAAGGAACAAGGCATGTCATCATTAAAAGGAAGAAATTTGAGTACCTTATTTAGCCACTAATACTTCATCACTCCTGCTTTTCCCTATTCCTCTGAAGCAATTCCCTATTCCTCTGAAGGGATTGGGTTTTTTTCCTTCTGTTCAGTACCACTCTGGGGTTTTTCCATTATTTCACTTTTTTTTTTTTTTTCCCTCTCTTCAGCTTTATAACCTTTCTGCTTCAGCTCCCTACTTTTAATCCTCTCTCTATCTTCAGATCTTCCTGTGTGCTCCCTGGGCTAGCTGAGGATCTGACAGCAGTAACTTTTCTCTGCCAGCTGCTGCCTTGGAAGAGAACTGTGCAGGGAACCACCTGAACTCATCTCACCAAGGAAAAGATGAGATAAAAATTGGTAAAGCGAAGACTTTTTTTTCTCTCCCTCTTTCTTTTTCACACAGGCCAAGAGAAAATGAGAGAGAGGGGAAAAACCGGAGTAATTTGGCTGCTTTTCTTTCATCAGGAGTGTAAACCTGGTCATGCTCAGCCTGGTTTCACTCAAATGAGCAAGGAGCTGATCTGGGCTATCAAAGTCACCCAGCTCACAGGGGAGACCCTTCAGCTCCTCAGGTGCAGTAGCTGGGGGCTGCAGTTGGAGCTGGCATCAGCTGCTGCTGCATGTGGCCAGGCCATGGTGAAAAAAGTGTCTCCCAGCCAGAATGGCCTTCCAATAAAATGATAATTTGATCCCTCTGGAGACTGGAAAGCATCAAGGACCATTTGTTTTTAGAATCAAATAACAAAGCTGGAGAACTGGAAGACCTGCCCAGCTTGTGGCACACTGTGCCAGCAGTGGGGGCACAGGATGGCAGTGCTGCCAAGGGGAGCCAGGGCCTTGGTGCAGCCCTTGGAATCCTGCTGCACTGCTGCAGGGCTGCACTGCTGCAGGGCTGCTCTGCAAGCAGCAGGAAGAGCAGGATGCAGTGAGCAGCCCTGCCCTGCACACTGTGTGCCTGATTCCTGCCATCAATGCGCTCTTCATTAACTCCCCTGGACTGACAGCACGAGGCACAGCTCTGTACAGCTGTGCTCTGCTGCTGCAAACAGTCCCTCAATAAATAAAAATGACAGCTCCAGTTATCATATGGTACACTGAGCTCCACCTGTGCTACAGGAGCTGCACATGCCATCAGGCAGCTCAGATGCCACTTCACTTACCCACACTTCTGCCATGGAAGGCTTTTATTGTGGGTGAGGCAAAACACAAACCCACAGCACTCTTCTGTTTACTTCCAATTATATTAATTTCTTGCATCTATAAGATTTACTTATCCTCCCACAGATTATTCATGCCTGTAGCCCTGCAAAAGCATGTAGACTGAAATCCTTCACCCACTCAATATGCTGGAGAGTTTGCAGTAGGTTTCCAAAGCCTGGATTTTTGTCTCCCTTCCCCAGCTAGTCTATTACTTGGATTCATTTAAATCCAGTTTTTTTGGGCTTTTTTGCAATCTTACTGGGTTGAAAAAAAGGTCTGAGGTGTAAGAGGACTCTTCTACTATAACTGTAAGCTGTTTTTCTATAACTAATAATGATTCAAGATGGTCCAGGCACATTTGGGGCTAGAATGGTTATTATGGCTATGTTTGCCTGGCAATTCAGCATCTTATGACTACCCCTGTTAAGTCTACAAAATTCAAATTGTCTGTTGCTGAAATAATCCCTCACAACCTATTGCTGCACATACAACCCACAGACTCTGTATGATAAGACCAAATGACAGAGGTGGTTTTCTATTTCAGGGTAATTTGGTACAGGTTAAGTGAAACTCTAGAATCAAATTTGTTCAAATATTAGTTCAAATATAATTTCATATTCTCCCATGTAACAAGGCAAAAATCCATACAGATAACAGTGGAATAACAAGCAAAACCCTACAGCTTGTTCCTTTACTTTGCAAACCTGAAATGCATTATCTGGAGATCCACCATTTACCAGAGCACACATAGCAGAGAGCAGGCTGAGCAGAGGGTTCAAAGCTATCTGTCAATCCATTTGCAGTTCAAACCAGTGGTGAACTGCTCCAGCTGTTTTCCAGATCAAAAATATTATTGTCATTTTGTTATCTCTGCATGCTGAGGGTTATGTAACAAAAATGCACATGTCCCTCTGCCTGGAATGCAATTAATTTCCTCCCTCCCCACTGCGAGTGGTAAGTAACAATTCAGACAGTCTGGATGCTTCAGTTTTGAGCACAGGCAGGGATGCAACCCTGGATTAATTCCACGTGGTAACCCACTATTTGTAACATGCCAGTCTTCTGGAGGTCTTACAGCCAGGGTATATTTTGTAGTTTGGAAAAAAATAAACATTATCTTCCTGTTTGTACATGACCTCTTTACTGTCTGTGGGGTACCCTGAGTGCTTTACTGCAGTTCTTTAGTTTAAGCACAGACTTTGCTTTATGCTGGAATTTTAAGTCTTCTTATAAGTGTGCTAACTGGATGAAGGGATTGCTAAAAATCTGAAATCAGCCACTATACTTGCTGAACACTTTGGTATGCAAAAATCAGTTATTGTACACTATTAACTTTAAAATAGTGGCAGCATCCCATCTTAATATACAAATATCCAAACATTCTGCAGGTGGGTGAATTCAGACTCTGTAATGCTTAACCACTCCATGGAATTTGCTTATATAAAAAGAGCAACTGGAAGTCCTTTGCCTAGAACAGAACACTCAAGAAACAAAACTCATTTTCTCAACCCAATCATTTTTGGAATGTGCCTTTCATCTCTGTAAGTGCAGCTAAGCCCATGATATTTATATAACAACCATAAGATCTTCAGGACAGGAGCTGCCTTTCTATAAAATATTTGCACCATACTTAACTCCTCTCTGCTCTTGCTGCAATAGAAACACAATGGGGTGATCAACTGTCCTCCAGGGTGTCAACTGAGATGAAACATTAACTTAGTGCTTGACTGCAGCAATTTCCTTTAATGTGTTATTGCTTGGTACAGCTTGCTCTGGGTTACTGGTTTACAGCTCACTTGTGTAGGCAGCACCTGCAGAGGTTTTACTGTTCTTACCTGGTTAAATAGGCCAGAGCTCGCTCACATCCCGATGGCTTTTTGGGCTCCACCTTTTTTATGGGGATTCCAGCTTCCCTCATCAGCTGCTTCTCTTTCTTCTTGCGCTCTTTTTTTAATTTTCTTTCCAGTTTCCTCTTTTCCTCTGGAGTAAGTTCTTCCTCTTCCTCTGCAATAAGCTCTTCCTCTTCTTTTGTAGCCTGAAATAATTAACATTTAAATGAAGTGTTTACCTTTCTATAGGAAAGTGAACAAAACATGCATAAATGTAATTAAAGGGCACAGGTAATACCAGAAGGTTCAGGTTTCATATTTTTACTGGTCTCTGTACTTCCATCACCTCTCTGCTGTGCCCAACTCCCAAAACTGCAAATGCTGCACTCAGGATCTGTCAAACTGCCCTATAAATGTTGATACTGCTCTGAGAATCACAGGAAACTTCCACCTATGTATTAAACACCATTTCTAACACTTTTTGGGCTGTTTGCTCTCCCACACTCAACCCGGAGGAGGGATGTGAACAGCAGAGGATGTTTCACAGTGGATGGAGGGTTTGGATGATTTTTCAGCACACACACACTTCAGTGGGAGCAGTAAGGATCCTCAGTTTGTGTTTGCTGTGTAACCACACACTTCCCTGGACTGAGAAAACCTCTGTCTGCCATGCAGAGGCTTCCTCTCAGTTATGCCAAGGGCAAAGATGTGACAACTCCCTCCTTCATCCAAGACATCTTGGAGATCCTTTAGTAGTCTTAAGGAAACATATGTACAATCTTCAATAAACATACACAGATACATATCTCACAAAGGTTGACATTTCTTTAGGTTTGCAGACAGAACAGTTAATTATTCACATCTAAACCCATATTACCATAAATATATGCATCAGTATATCCCAAATGAAAATAAATATTTTACATACAGATGAAGAGCTTTAAATAGTTTATCTGACTATAAACACTGTGTTTATCCTGGAAAATCCAGTGTGAGATTATGTTGTGTAGAAATAAAATGCTGTTCCAAAGCAAGATGAGATTCATTCCAGGCATTCCCAGATGTCTGAGGGAGGTAATTGCCAGGTATGGTCCTCTGCTAGAGCCTGGAAGCCAAATGGGTGAGAAGGAAATGCTCTTCCTCCTCTCCCTGCTGCCCCCTCATCTGGTCAAAGAATCTGTAACTGGAACCTGAATGAATGAGAAGATAATTGCTTTATGGCAAGAGTGGTTAAAACCACTTTATAAGTTCACAAATCCTTGGTGTTACATTAATTTGTGTCAGTCAAGGGCTTTGAAACACAAATCTAGACACAGAGCTAAATAATGTTATTCTTGCTGACATTCAACCAAAGAATGTTAAACAAGGCAATACCTGAACACAATCTTATTTGCCAAAGACACCTGTTGGGGTTTAAACATTTGTTCATTGTCAATTCACCTATCATCTAAGCTGCCTCTGACTCATCTTTTCAACTTGGTGTTTTCACAGACCGAAGAAAGGTTAAGAAAGCAGAAAGCAGAACTAATGGAAGTAGGACACTAAAGTGGAGTTGCTTTTTCTTGTTTAAAATAATTTTTAAGTACTTTTATGGAAAGGCCAGCATTCATTGCAAACACATGCAAAAAGGCAACATATGTTGCATTAGTATAGAAGACATTTTATAGTTCATGCTGAGAACAAAATAATATTTAGGGCGAAGGTAGAATTGAATTGTTACACAGGAAACAACGTTTTCATTTGAAAAGCCACCCTGGTACTTACTAAAATAACAATCCAGCCACACAAAGCCCTAGAAAACACTGAGGGTGGTCATTTATAAAGTGTTTGTAAAAGATTACTACAGCAGCTGTCCAACAGACGACACACTACAGTTAATCTTCTTTTAAAAATAATGTAATGAATTTGTTTACTTTTCTGTGAGCCATGAAGCTTTCAAATAAAGTGACTGTGGCACATCATTAGAGGCAGTCTGATAAAGAAGCCTCTGCTTCTTCATACTTACAGTAAATGCATATCTTGGTAACTTCCCTTTCCCCCCTCCCCACATTCCTCGCATTATCAAAAAGCTTTTTATCCTTCTCCCTGACCGCTCCATTAAAAACAAAACAAGTTGCTCCCTCTGTGTAGGTCCCAACGTAAATACCAAGCCCTAACAACATTTGTTTCCAGCATGGATGGGCTGTGGGCTGTGTGACACAAGAGCATTGTTCTCCTGCAGGGCTGTCCTGGCAGGAGAGGGTCGGGATTTACGGCTGGAGGCACCTCCTGCTGCCCCACAGCATCAGCCAGGGAAAATGGATCAATCAGCCTGGGACTTCCAGCACAGGTACTGACAGAGTCCTCACAACTGCTCAAACAACTTGCCCAGTTCCAAATATACTTTTATCCACCCATGTCAACTTGATTAATTTAAAAGGATGTGGCACAGTCTGTCCTAGACTGGCTTTTAATTTGAAAACCTCAGGTTTTGTGTGCTTCAGAAAATACCTACACATTTGGTGGTGTAGTCCCTTCTGAAGCTGAGGGTGATTTTATCAGTGAGGATAATTTAATAGCAATTTCTATTTAAAAAAACCTTCCCCCAAACGTTGCAATTTGAAAGAAAACAAAACCAAACCTTCCACTAGAATTTAAATCCTACGTGTATTTATTATTTATTAATCTATTGATGCTCCTCTCCTTCCCTTAAATCAACAGCCTGAGATTTTAATTTTGTTTTCCCCAAACCATTAGTGTGACTGTTCATCTGGAAGATGTTTGTGACCCATTTGGATTAAGAGTTTTAGTGTTATGTCATTATTTAAACTAAAAAACCCAACCAACAGGACTTCATTGTTTTGAGGTCATAAATATTCCAGGTTGTCTCCTTCTATATTTATAAAGTGACATCACAATTTGTAGTGCCACAATTTAGCCTTAACTACGACATTGTAAAGTCCCTATTTGAGCATGTGAGACACTTGTTTATTGACATGATAAATTTAAACCACATGCACACAGAAAAACAGCACTTGCTTATTTGCAAAGCCTGCTGAGAGCTACCACACCACCTTGGGTTGTGGGCTCATTAGATCTCAACCTAAACAAGGTCAGGCCAGGTCAGCACACTTGAATGAATGACATTCAGAGGAGAGCCAGTGTTTTCTTGTGATTAAGGAGGTGGGAGTCTTCCACTTGTAAACCTTCCAGAAGGCCTGAAAAGGTGCTAAAAGGGATATTGCCACTGCATGCCATTTTTTGAGTGAAAGGCAGACCCCAAATCTTTCACACTTATGCTCATAAAAGCCCATGTCAGCTTTGCACAGGCACAGGGATATGAGCAAGCAAATTCCCAAAGTTTGTATCATACCATGTCCATCTGCTGGCAAAGTGCTGTGGGCGCCAACACACTGCCTTTCATCAATGCCAGTCTCCAACTTTCTGAACTGTGTGTAAATATAGCAATATGCTCTAAATAGTCCAAGGCATCTGACTCAAAATAGCTGCAGGCTTCAGCTCTAGCACTTTTAGATACCAGTTGAAGTTTTCCATCATTCTTTGTAATCTGGAAATATTGCACAAATTTGAAACATTTTATAAATGATCCTCAGAAGTGAGCTTACAGTCATAAATGGGGAGCCAGCTCACACAGACAGGAAGTGTTTAATACCATAAAGCAGCCCTGCTAAGCAATACAGAACAGAGAAATACAACTAGAACTGTAAGAAAAACTAGCAAAAAGATGTACAGGTTCTCTTGAAGGAACCTGACCCTTTTTTTTTTGTGCAATGAGAGTGGCAGAACCAAACAGGTGTTGTTTCTGAGGGCAGTTTTTGTATCTGCATAAAAGCTTCTACTCCAAGGGGACTATGAATTGCAACAGCTGAGCAAGCAGCACCAAGAAGGGAATAACAGCACTAATAACAGCAAATAATTGTGTGGTGCTTCCAGAGAGCACTAAGTGCATTTTTATATTTGCTTCCAGTCCTTGATGGCCTCCCACTTAAGTAGAACTGAAGATATCTCCTAAAGACTTCTGCTCCTCCTCCTCAGTCCTTCAAAATTCCCACATTTGCAGCCCTGGCTGTCCATAGCCAGCACAGAATAATGTTGGCAGAGTCAGAAATTCTGAGGAATTGCCACAGTGAACAGAATCCCCATCTATGACATTCTGCCTTTGGGATTCGTCTCTGTAGGTCTGAACTTCCTGCCTGATCAGGGTTTTGGCTTTGCTGCCAAACCTATAGAAGGAACCACAAACCAAGCCACAACACCAAATTCACTATTTATTAGAACCAGTGAATCCAGCTCCTCCAAAACCAATATCCTTTTATCCTTTTCTCCCAGCACAGCACAAGAAGTCTGTACAACAGCAAGGCAAGCAACAGCAGAAATTCAAAGAATTAAATAACAGTGACAAAAATATAAGAAGGGCATCAAATTTTTGAACTCCAGAGAGTTCAAAATGGAGGGGAAATGGATTATATGGCTTATTTCATAGTAGGAGCATTGTATCACCTTGTTTGTTCATGAAGCTCATGTTATTTCATAACTTTTAACATGGAGAAATGTCAAAAGGGGCTTTGTTCACTGACCAAGAGCTACTGACACATCATGTAATGGCTTCTGCTTAGGAGCAGCCTTTTGCCCCCCAAATGCCCCGTGGACGACATCAGCATGCAAAACGACCTGTTTCTGCCTCACACAATGCACATGAACCCAGATAAATAACTGGCCATCTGCCAGCCTAAAAACAAAAAGCGGAATCTATAAACACAGATCAAAACCCACAGAGAAGAAAGGCTGGCAGACCCTTAGACAAAAGGTTCATAAAAGAAAGATTGACAAATTATTTACTATCCAAGGCTGGCCAAAGGGTTGTGCTACAACTACAGCTAGAGAATTGGCATAAAACAGTTCAAGGCCATACTAAATTTAAATAATTATTTTCTACTATTTAGCATCCCATGAAAAGAAGAAGTATGACCAGAGAGGGCATTTGAAATTTCATTATCGTGCAGAAAGCAAATTTTAAATGAAAAACAACATGTAGAAGTACTTTTTATACGTCTGTAGTGCTTACAGAGAAAGACCTTTTACAAATTATATACTGCTCAAAGAAAAATACAACATTTATGGTAAAAGCAAGGTGTTTGTAGAATCTCAACTCCTCACAACAAACACACTGACAGTAATTTATATTAAGTTGATTAGGAAAGCTTTCTGTAGATTCAACCCAGGCGGAGAAGTCTCAAACAAGTTCTGCAGGAAACCAGATTGAAGTCAGAACAGCCTTTTTATCTTTCTGTTCCAGGAAAGGATTCTTTTTGTGGTCATGTAAATGTTGGCATTTTGTTTGTTTTTTTAATAAAAAGCTTCCTTGTGTATACAGCTACAGTATCTCAGGAACACAAGTGATCAGGTAGCACCCTAAACTTGCAGCTGTAATTTAGAATAGATGCACCTTGATGAGCTTGAAATCTGGTTTAATTTACAACTGTGTGATCTTTGCATGTCTCAGATTTACAGCCAATTGTGAAGAGCATAGAAAGTGTTATCATTAGCAACTGCTGAATAAGAAGAAATTGAACAATTTACTAAATTACATGAAAGCATTTACAGGCACACAGAATACACAACTTAAAGAATGCAGCTTGTTGAATTCCGCTTTATAGACTGTTACCCCTATAAAGTACATACTCCTGTGCTCTGGCAGATTAAGTTCTGAGGCATAAATTAGGATCGTATTGTATTTCTTATTTTTCTCCACCAGTATCAGAGCCCTGAGTACAACAGAAATACTTGAGAACTACCACAACTGCAGACTCGGGGAATGCAGTTTTGCCTCATTTGCAACTACAGTGCGGCCAGGAATTTTCACATATTTGCTGAAGGATTTCGCTTACTCCCCTACTCTTAATTAAACCGTGTTAAGCAATCAGGAGAACATGGAACAGGAAAAAAAAAAAAAAAAGAAAAAAAAAAAAGGAACCCCCTCGGAAATCATTTGTATCCACATCCCTGTGGCTTACACACAGCCCTTTTAACCCCTCCCCAGAAACGCAGAGGAATTTTAATAGAAGGAGCACGAGACTGTCGCAGCACTCTGCGCTTTCGTTGCCACCAAAGTCGCCCCCTTTAGTGGTGCTGACAATTTCTTCTGAGGCTTAAAAAGGCTTTGGGCTGTGAGAGGAGGTAGAAGCAGAGCAGAGGCTGTTTTGAAATCCTTGCTGGAGAATTAGAAAAAAAATAAATAAACCAACCCCAAACCACGAGCTCGATCTCCTCCAATGAAAGAGGTACCACAGGGTGTAGGCAGGTTGCCAGGCGAGCTCGGCAGCGTGACCGCACTGCATTGAGTTTCTTTAATGAAAGCCAGGAAAGAACACATTACACAGTGTTTCTTCTGAGAGCCAGCGAGCCTCCAGTGATTGAAATCAATAAAAACAGTCGGCAAGGGGCCCAGTGGGGGAAGAGAGAAATCTCCACTACAGCATTCAGTTTGCTTTCCACTTTCTCCCTCCCCCTCTAAAGTTAAACTCCGAAGATCAGCATGACAAGCTCCTTCGCTTCCAGCGCTGGGAAGACGCTGGTGGGGATTTAAAGGAAGCGAGCGCTTTCCTTCGCCTCCCTGCCTTCGCTCTCCCCCCAGTGCGGAGGAAATGAAAGGCTTGTTCGGAATTTGAATCCCGCCTGGAAAAACTTCATTGGACAAGTGCATCGCTCTGCATTTCAGGAAAGGGATGGATTTTACGGTCAGAGAATGGTAAAAGGTGAGAGCGGGAAGCAGAGCAGGAATCCGATCCAGCCGGAGCCCACGAACAGGGTAGGATGTCCAAGCCGGCGGAGGGGACCTCTGGAGCTGCGGGACGGACTGCGAGCAAGTGCCTGGGATCATCCACATCCTGAGGCTCCTGGAACGCTGGGACACGTGACGGACACACCAAAACCAGGTAAGCAGAACCTGCTTTTGACAATCCCCATCCCGCGTCCGAAAGCCCGGAGACCCTTGTGCTGCAGCCTGCACAGTCTGCCCCACGTCCGCCCTCGTTAACCTCGGGCGACTTGACGCTAAGCTTGTCGCGTCTGAGAACCGTGTCAGGCCACTAATCCTCACTGAACTATAAACCGTGCACAAAAGCCCTTTGTTTACCCGTTTTGTGTTGAATTTGCGAGCTGACAAGGTAGGACGGGGCCATTGCGTAAGTGCAGCCCCCCCAGGAGCTGCCGCTCCACGCGGGCCCGCTCGGAGCAGGGGAGCACGGCTGACCCCGCACGCTGGAGCTGCCTGAGATCTGAGAGAGCGCCAGTAATGGGTTTCTAATATGGTCCATATTTATCTATTGTATTTATGTATTTTAATCACCATAGCAGCCACATACAGAACATACTTGCACCGAGTTCCATGTGCTGCTCTGCACCGCGACTCGCAGCAGTGCATGCACGGGGGCTAGGCTGATTGTTTTGTCAAAAAGAACTTGGCAATTAGTTGTTAACACAGCCAAGGGGGATTTCTGGCACATTATTTAGGAACGACACAGGTCTATGCAGCACGTGTGTATTTGCCGTTACCCTAATGCAAACAGGCTTTATCCCCAATAAAAATGGGGAAGGCACAGATAACAGCTGTAGATCACAACATTCTTCTCAAGTTTTTGGCCAACTTCAGATGATTTACGTAGACCTCAGTGACACAGAGAGTGAAATCAAAGCCTGCCTTCCGCAAGGCAAGCAAAACTAATGATAGCTCCATCTCTTCTCCAGCAGAGGCAGGAATTCACTGGGACAGATAATAAATAGGTGCCTGTGGAGCAAGAGCAACAGTGCTTGTCCCCCTCACGCTGGTCATCATGAGATGTTGACAGCAACACACATGCTCACTGCTGGAGAGGGACTGGATGCCTCCACTCCCACTTAAATGTTTCAGAACCTCTTTATCCACAGCCTACAGGGCACAAAGTCTGAAGGTAGAGAGAAGAGACTCCAGCTCAGTACCAGCAGACAGAATGCAGGAATTTAGTACAGCAAGTGCAGATGTGCATCTGCAGGTGCAGTGTTGCTCTTTCCTTGGAAAACACACACTTTAAAGGGTCATTTTGTTATTTACATGTCACACAGAAATGGATGACTTACCCACTGAAAGAATGACCCGGAGAACACCACCATGACCAAAAGTAAATGCCATAAGTTGAAGCATGAAGTGTTCTAATAAAGCTACAAAAATAGCTGAGGCAGTATTTAAATAGTAAGAAGTTTCTAGACTAATTTATTAATCCAGTTTTAAACTTTTCACACAAAATGATCACAAAATTATAGGTGAAGGGGTAATTAAAGAACAATAATTTACAACAAAAAAGCAAAGTTATAATTCATAATAGAATAGGATCCTACGTGGAGTTCTGGGCATACCCACAGACCCACAATTCATTTTGCAGAGTCAGTTCTCTGTTTTGCCTCCCCTGCACAGATCCTTTGCAGAAATGACAGCACCTTCATAGCTCAGGAATCACAGCAATCATTCCCACACCAATCAACAAGTCTGCTTTGCACTGCTCTTGGAGCTAAATTTATCCTTATGCAGAGGAACTCATTAAAGCTTTATTTAACGTTTCAGACAAGGAAAGCTTAGGTAGGACTTACACAACACATACTGCTTGTACTGACATTCTCAAGCTCAAGTGATATTCCTCCCCATTACTCCCTCAGCAAAAATAGAATTATTACCTTTAAAATGTGGGATATTTTTGTTCATAGTGATGCATTTTTCAGAAGCCGAGTGGCAACGAGTGACCACTGTTAATGGAATATCTTCTTTTCAAGCACACAACATAGAAAGAAATGTATTTTCTCTATCAGAAGTTGTGATCAAATACAGATATTCTAGCAGTCATACCAGGGTTTTTCAGGCCTGTCAATGTTGTTATAGCTGATTCTGTGCACAGTGACCTATCCTTCAGATTCTGCCTCTGGAAGAATCCCATGTTGCTTTGCTGAGTCGGGTACAAAAGTAAAGAACTATTGGGAACCAATTTCTCATGTTTCTACCAGTCTTGGAGGTCTCGTATCATCGGCAGTACTTTGTCCTCAATAATGAAACACATCATCATCATAATCAGAGTTCCTAATACCTCATGGCAATTGTCCTTACAGCAATGCTTGTTGGTAAAACAGCTGTTTGAAAACAGTTCATAAGGTTTTGAAACAGTCAGAAAGCTAGATGGAAGTATTTTAAATGTGGAAGGACAAACACTTTGTTTTAACATCCCCCATTTAAGCCCTTATGAAGGAAAATATCTGGGATTATAAAAACAAGTTAAATGGCCATTCAAAAAATGCTGAAATTCAGCATTAAAGGTGCAAGCATGAGAGTCTGTTGAACACCTGGACAGCCTGTGTTCCGTGAAACAATATTCATGCCTGCTCTGGGGGGAAAAGAGTGTTGCCATCCCTTTCAAATGAACATGATCTGACACTTCTTGAATACGGTAAAGCTTCAAGGTGTCTCCTTTCCTATTTATACCAGTGGTTCATGTTCACAGTGCTGGATTCACTCAGCTGAGTATATTTAGTTTGCTCAGCCTCAAATTGACAGCTTCTCTGTAATGTACCCATTCTGACTTAAAAATGGAACATAATTAACATACAGCTGGAGAAGGTACATTTTTGCTATTTATGGGAAAGATTAGTGAAGATGAAGATTAAATATTAAGTAGAAAATAAATGGTTATTGATCCATAGGAAAGGTGGTTTTCCCTAAAATTCAAACAGGAATCCTTGTATTTGACTTGGGAAGACATTTTTTGTTAAAAACAAGGTCAACAAGAACTTCATACCTCCTTACTAACAAGCTGTCACTGTCTTCAGCTACAGAGTCAACAGGATGCATAGACACAGAGAATGAATGTCCTGGGACATACACACTACTCTCAAACCCTCCAGATTCTCTCAGACCTAACAGAAGTTTTTTTCATCAATTTCTTAATAAAAACCAGCACCAGTTTTACTCAGTTATACCAAGATCTTCAAAACCAAGCAAAATATTGCAGAATTTGTTTGATCCATACCTGCATTTATATACACTCAGCTGCACATGCACATGTAGGCAGGAACATGCATTTTTCAATTTGTGAGAACAAGACCCAAGACACTCAGGGAAATGGAGTGGGCAGCATTCATTTCTTTAGCTGAATGTGATCATTTCATGATTCAGTCACCCTAAAATAGACACCCACAGCAGCACTTGGAACATGAGCAGCCTCTCAACTGTCCTGCACCTTCATCCCGAGCATAAGGGATCAACAACCTCAGCACAGGTCTTGCCTCTTGGTTTGCTTTAAAATCAGCTAAATTGTTTGGGAGACTGAGAACTGGACCCTCAGTTTGGCTGGGAAAAGAGAGACACCTTTCACATTAAGCAAAATAAGGAAGAAATGTGATGGGCATTACTGATTTTTGCATTTGACTTCCTGCCTAGTGATAACCAGAGACAGATGACTGAGATTGTGACAATTAATTTATGTGAAATGATCCTTTCTCTAAATATATATCAATTCCACTAAGAGACCTTTGAACACCTGCATGCAGAATTTGAAAATGTTTAAAGAAACAAGTAGTATAAAACTGTATTTCAGGCACAGCTCAGTTGCCACTGAACATCCTGCTTTAAGAAGTTCTTTCTCAAGGGCAATGGTAAAGGAGGAATGTTTTTCAGAGCTGGCATGAATTACACAATCAAACTTTCCTTCAGGTCTGCGTGCTGCTCTTCAAATCCCCATGAGCAAGTGCAAGTGGTACTTCACATGACCGGTAGAGAGAAAGAATTTGAATTTGTTTGTAAGTTTAAAATGGTCTCCTGAAAGTTCCTTAAGAAGATTCCATCCATAATATTGAAAGTCTTTGAAAATAAAGTCTAACACATTAAAAAATCCTATTTATTTAGCAATGCTCTCCATGCTTTCTGTTCTTGCGAGCTCTCTGGTAACTATACATCTGTGATAACAACTTTTAAGCTCTCCAAATTTATCACACAGCTGAAAATACTGAAATGACATCTGGTTTTTATAGCATCAGGTGTGCCTTCATTATGCGTTTGTGAGGCAGAGCAGAAAATTGAAAAACAATTATGATTTAAGAAGCTAAATTAAAACCTGTTGACTGTTTAGTAAAAATGCTCCATAAAACCTGTTTGTATTCCAGCAGACCCCACTGAAAAGCATCATTGTAAAAGCAGCACAAAACAAGGTATTGGTAGCGTTTGCTTATTTTGGAATTAAGGCATCTAGAAAATGATCCTAAAATCAAATTGTATTAATTTGCATTTCAATAATAAGTAGCTTAAGCATATTTATAAAATAAGTATAGAATTTACATGGACAGAATTTACAACTCATGATAGTTTTAAAGCCCGGCTTTACCTGCTGAACTTATATTTTACGTCTTTGATAAACCAAGTATAAATACAACAGGAAGCAACAGCTGCCCACATAATTTTAAAGTTAAGTACAAAACAGAATGGAAAACTACAGATGGCATAAGATGTGAAATACAAGAAAGCCTGGACTCGGCAACAGGAGGATTAAGTTTATCACATACCTGTTCTGTTATCACATAATTTTGCAGGGATCAAAAGAAAGTTTTAAGATAGGAACAACAAGGAACTTCTTCATGGCACACAGGGCAGCACAGGACTGGGGATGGCCATTAGAGAACACAGATGGTCAAAGGTAAATGTTTGAGTTGTTGCTGAACCAAGAGTCAACATTTCCATGGTGCACAGGGATAATGGCTACAGTGGGATTAGACTGCAGAGCTTTGGAAGTGAAGTAGTTTATGAAGTAGTTTATCTCCTTTTAAAAAGGAGAGCAAAGGAAGAGAGAGAGAAACAGCAAATGAAAGGTCCATCTCAAGGGAAATCGTGATCTTCAAAACAAAATTGTAAA